CATGTAAATAAGTATGATGCAAACACTTCTATATATCTAAATATTGAAAAACATGTGTTATACTTTTACAAATAATATATCAAATAATTATTACTGCAAAATGTATTTTTACCTTTATCAACCTTTTAGCTTAATATGGCTACATTTTCTTTTCATTTTTTACATTATTAAGGGAAATAAAATAATTCCAAAATAATAAAAAAATTCATAATCAAATTAATTAGAGTACAGTATATGTAGTATAGAATCAATAAAGACAAATAAAATACAAACTAACTAATATAAAATTGTACTCAACGGGTGGGCCTGAATTATTAATTTAAGGATCAATTTTTAAAAACTGAAAATGTAAGATTGCAAATAGAGAACATCCGCTTTTAGTTTCCTTATAAGGATATAATTGTTGTAAGCATGTGAAGATAAATTCAAATTTGTCTAGCAAAGACATTTGTTAACTAACTTAACGTAGCTCCGGAAACGCCATAAGAGAATTCTGTTATTATGTAGTTAGTATCGAGATATGATTGGATGCGGAAGCCTACTCCATTCCGCCCAAATTGGGAAACGTAAGACATTTTTGTGGATATCTCGTGAATCTATACAAAAATATCTTTCGGCCGAGATAAAAAATTCAAACTTTTCTTTCCAAAAGTATCTTTGATAATATTTTGAAGTTTGGTATGCTAGCAAAACACGACTATAGAGCAAATAATCAAATTTAAGATATTAGCGCGGCCAACTAGAAAAGGTCGCCCATATAAATCTATATCACGCGATATAGATGGATATAGCCAACATATCCTCGTTTAGGCGTGTTAAAATTTATTTATAAATTCGCTCAATCTTTATAATTCTATTGTTATATACATGTGGGAAGTTTTAAACAACCAATAGTCAACTAATATAATAGGAACATTTGAGACGATTTTGATCTTCATCTGTTGCATTGGACATTCAAGAGACAAAACTTATTCTCAAAATCTACCTTTTATATATAAGCCGTTTTCTTTTAAAACGGTGTAAGTCCATTTTATATTACAGGAAAGTATTTAAGAGTTTTTGCTCGAATAATGTTATGAATGAATGAACTGTAGGGCGGCACAGGGTATAAAAAGGTGATCGATCGAAAAGTAATTCGATGAGCTTGTTCTCCTTGACGCTTTATTTGCTCACAGTAATTGTTTAATAGCCAAATTGACCAAATCTAATGTTTAAAGATAGGACTTCTTTATTACAAATTCATGTAACAACTAAAAGAATAATTTCGCAGCACTTTTCCTTCAATATTCAATGATTGCTTTCTTGTATTTTAAAGACATTTTATTAATCCACATCCACGCTGTAGAATAAATATATGGAATTTTTGAACGAAGTGTAAGACATGTTCAAAGGTGTCTTTTGAAGTCAGCTCCTTTTCCATCATTAAGAAAGTTCTGCAAAGAGCGCAACGAATAGTTGTCGGGCAAGCCAAATTCCGCACTACACGGTGTCAATTTTCGCCAAATCATTACAGATGTCCATAATCTGCCGTTGTCTTGATGAAACGCAATTCCTATTTGATTGATCAATTGTGAACGCCTTCGTTCAATTACGCCCTTCAATTGCAGCCAGTTGCTGATAGCCGATAATAAAACCAATAGAAAGCGAATTATTGCACGATTTGCTTCCAATCTGAGCAAACAGTCCAGGGGTCGGTTTACAGTTCTCGTTACCGAGCTGTCGTACGGTACGAAGGACAAAAACTGTCGTTCATTGCATTTGCAACGGAATATTTATTATCGGTGTATCCGTAACAAAATAATGCAAAAAGGAGGAAGAAAAGTAGATACATTAAATAAGCAAACGTAATATAAAATTGGAAAAAGAAATTGGTAAATAAATCGATATCTTTGAAAAAAAAAAATTTATAAAACACACAGAGCTTTTTTGTTTCGGTTATTATTCACTTTTCGCGCTATAGTATGACCTCATAAGGCTACTGCTAACAAAGTAATTCGATTCTAAAAACATGCGTTCGGAAAAATGTCACGAAATTTGCCCTTTATCTAATAACGACTTTAAAATTACTATTGTTTTGGTTGTAAAAGCTTTTCTAAAATTATTTTTCCTTAATCTTCGAAACGTAAGTTTAATTAAAAAATGTCCGTATTTATCACTTTACGCTGTCATAGTACACTACACCAATCATCATTTTTATATTCTACTCGCTCTATATTTTTTTTTTTTTAACAAATATTTTTTTGATTTTTATGCAAGCAGTTTTTTTTTTGTATGTTATAATATGTCTTTAATTTTACAAATTATTAAATTCTTATTTTTATAATTTTGTTGTTAATAGTTGGTTTCGATTTTACATACAAAATGGATATTCATTTTCGACTTGTACGATATTCGGAGAGAAACCTAACCTACAAACCGGACTCTCGCAAGCAAACGAACTTATGAACGTATTGTTATCCTAACCGCAGAATGGCAGTTTTCTTCTTTATTTATCGAGTGAGAATAAATCTTTGTGTCAGAAAGTCAGAAAATGTAATCGTAGTATCCATAGTATCAAAGATAAGCCAAGAGGAGGTCGACAATTGGATTTTGACGACCAGGCAATTCGTCAACTGTGGAAGGGTACGAAAGCTTGACAAGTCGATTGCTGGCCGACAACTTCAATGGACCCCCGCAAACTCAGCAACACCCATAAAGCCAAACGTGCCCGAATGTTCAAGAACACTTAAGAATATCGTGTAAAAACGCCGGGTAATTATGAACACACCTATTAGTAAACACGGAATATATCGTCGGGAATTCCTAATTTTTGTTCCAACTAATCAATAACTAAATAACAGATATGATCTATATAAAATATAAACTTCTCGTAATATCCCTTAAAATATTCATCGGCATTCTGAACTGATTCATACATTTCTGTCTGCTTCGATCTATTACATTTTAAATCTTTGAATAAATAAACAATAGAACGCTGAAGAATTGAAAATAAATAGATTTTAGAGTCTCCTTACTACTCTTGAACCCATCACCGAAATAAAGAGTTATCAACAATTTTTAACAAATACAGACGTTACAAAATAGGTTACCTCCTTAACTAACTGCAGATTCTATCTAGTCGTCGACGGAATCTAAATCAAAGAAATGAGAAACACGAAACAAAAGATAAGGAAATCAGATATGTTACCAGTTCGATTCGAAAATATAACATTTAACATAAATTGAAAGATAACTCAAAGGAAATCTAATTGATCTTAAAGTAGATGAAATTCACATTAGTACATAATTAAATTCGTTGGTGGTCAATTGCTTTAATTTGAAATCTTTTCCTAAAAATAATTTTTATTTTAAATTTATCATTTGTAAGAACAGCGGGTATTATCTTATTTTGGCTAAAAAACGTAGTCTCGACTTAAGTTGTCAAACAAACATTCATTTAAGAATAAAAATGTTTCGAAATTAACGGAGTGTTATTTTTATTTGTTCTTGAATTTTTTATGCAAGTGAACGACGTTATCGAGTGTAGCGTACAATACATTACGAGACAAAGCACAACATGCCAACAAGACGAATATGACTTTCTCACCACCACTTAACATTACCAAAATATTCGAATAAAATAGAATAGAGATGCATTGGATGACTCTATAAAGCAAACAAATGCTAAATCAACGTTTGCTTATCCTTGAATTGTTTCCGATCACAAACGGTGATGATTCGGCGTAGGAAAGCCCAAACTTAACCCATATAATGTTAGTTAAATATCATATATAAAGTATGAATTCTCCAATCCGATTCATCTACAAAAGACAAAAGACTGCTTCAAATTTACACAAGATTTAATCTAAAATTAAATATCTAAAAATATGTAAAAGTTCACTGGAGAACACAGATATCCGCGCAACTGAAATATTGATTTAAACCTTTTAATGTCAATTTTTTTAAAACTATTCAAAAATCTTAAAAAGAACTTTTGTTTTTTTTTTTGCTAGGATTATGACATTTAATTCATACTTACGAAAAGGAGAGAAAAGGTACATCCACTATCAAAGAAAAAATGTATATATATGGGAATGTCATTTTATATATTAGGGCCTAACTATTTACCTCTGGATGTGTTTATTGAAAATTCCTCTTAAAGTGAATGAATAGTAAATTTTTTGCTCATTTTTATAGTTTTTTCCACAATTAATTACATTTGAATCCTTATTTATCGTTAATTAATTCAGCAACAAATCAATATTAATTTTTTTAAATTTCGCAAGTTATGATTATAATAAAATTGCTTAGATATCGAGTTTATAAGGTCTGTGATTAATCTTGGATGATATCATTGGATAAATCAAACAATGTTGTACAGAAGCTGTGCAATCAAATATATTAAATACATTCTGTGCTACTATTGCTTGATTTTGCCCATAAAAGACAATTAAGTAATTTCTAACGATAATTGTAACGAATAATACTTTTATTTAATTATGACTTAAAACTTTTCAATAATTTAAAAAATATTAAGCTTTCAGAAAACCGAAACTCATCTTATTCGATTAATATATATACGCTTATTAACTAACCCGATCGCTTTCATTGAAATTGGTATTTCCTTTTTTCGCTCTAACGCATAATTATCTGTTTATCGTATATATTTTTTGTTATAATTCGTAACACGGGATTTAGATCACATATTGCTTTTACCAAAATTGTTGGGGATGTTTACTTAATCACTTTCAGGATATTTAATATATTGCACTTAAACGCTTCTTTTTATTCTCATCGTTTATATCTAAAATGCTGCATTTTCCCTTTACAACATAGTCAATTGTAACTTTTCTTTTAATCTCCAGTTTCAATCAGATATTCATTGGCTTTTCCTTTAAATTTTTAGTTAACTAAAAATTAGGAGGCATTAACCTTAAATTTCAATGCATAAGAAATTTCCATTTTCATATAAAACTTTCATATAATATTGATAAAATTCTATGAAAAAAAGGGTTGCTTACCTAAGCAATGGCAGCTGTTGATTAATGCCAGTATGGCGGTAAACGTAATCCAAATATGTTTCATTGAATAATTAAACGTGGAAGAAAATAAATGCCGCCGTTCCAGTTCTTCCATATTTTTTTGGTATTAATCTGTTTTAAAACTACTAAAATATTTGATTATTATTTATTTACCTTTTATTTTAAATATAATTATTGGAAATTTGAAACCTTGACTTTTTTATCGTATTTCATTTTTAACTAATTTAAATGGCATTTTTTTACCAGATTTTAATTTTTTTTCCTTTTTTATTTTTTACATTTTAAGCACAAAGTAAGAGGGAGACTTCGAATTCTTCTCTTTTGTAGTCTCCCGCTCTCGTTTTACTTCGTTAATTAACTCTTCGGCATAGCCAAACATTTAGTTTATAGATACACACACCTGCCCTGATGGCTCGAAACGATCGTTTTTACATAAACAAGCCAAAACAACAATAAAAAAAATCAAAAAAACTAAAAGAAAAAAAACGTGTACACAATTTTTTTATTAAGATTTTTAAGTTATTTGCTTGTTACTTTAAGGATCTTTCCAAAAGGGAACTTTCAATTATTCTTTTCAACTAGACTTGTGGAGTACTAAACGGTGGTAAGATCGGCCCGATTTTAAGTATGTGCGCTTTTCATTAATTTTGTTTTTTGTCTCACTCATTTGTAAGAATTTTCTTTTTGCCAACGTAGTTTTCATTACATTATGATTTTCTATTTGTATTTATCTATTACATTCTTTTTTCCTTCTCTTTTTTATTTATAATAACAAACTTTTTTCCAAATCGCTTTTGTAGAATCATCTTTTGTTAGAAATATAAAATTTCTTCAAACGACAATCACATTCCACGCGTTACTTATCCGACAAATGCGCTGTACAAATACAACTGAAACACTGAAAACAAAGCAAAAATTTCAACAGAGCGAATCTTCTACTACCAACGAGATACAAACAAGCATTTATTTATAAGCTATGAGTGAGAACATGATGGGTCGTGTAGTCGTTAGATGGCGCTATCGCAAACGAACATTGAGTGATTATATTCAAGGCTTTATTAGCGGCAAGTTTCTGTTACCTCTGTTATACTGTTAAACAACATAAAAAAGCGATTTTCTTCGGCTTAGTATTCTATTAGAATGGAAAAAAAAGCATTTTCGGATCGTTTTAGTTTAAGACTCATTTGCATTGTAACATGTAAACGTTAACATTGTTCGGCATCTTTTATTTTATCATACTCGTATAAGTCCATGAGGATGAAGAGATGAATGTAAAAAAATATGTTTATAGATATGATTACATTAGAAATTTTCACTCAAAATTTGCCAAAATTATGCTTAACCATTATGCATGAAACCAATGTACATTGTTATCAAATTGAATCCAATACCGAATGGATACATTACGTATATTTTAAAACTGTTCAAGAAATTGCAGAGACAATAACTGAAAATTATTTAAATTATTCTGGACTAATTAAGAAGTTTGTTCTGAGATATGACGCCAATAAATAATCTTTCGTAAGTTAGAGTAGTACTGCTTGAAACCTTATTATAAAAAGACGACTTTAACAGAGTTTCAAATTGAATTAAAGAATACACTTAGTCCCCAAAATATTCCAACGATCTTAAAAACTGATCTCACGAGAAGATTGTGATTCGATACACTTCCTAACGAAAATTCATATCATTTCAAGAATTGATTCACTTTTCGATGTTTTGTTCGTAATGAGATTATTCATCCGTACCCAAACTATTTCGTCTCAGATAACTTTGACCAAATAAAATATATGAGTGGTCGAAGTGGTCGAGTAGGCAAAACCTCTCGATCAAGAACTCAGTTGTCGCGAGTTAAAATATCAAATGCGGTGGTTTGCAATAAAGCCGGTCGCCTTAAATGCGCTCTAATGCTTTAAGAATTTAATTTTAGAATTTATTTCTGTGACGAAAGTAATAATAATAAATTTGTGGCTTTAAAAAAATTCACATTTTTTATACCTACGACTGGAACGTAGAATAATAATTACATAAGAAAGTTGCACACTTTCATCTAAATATTTAACCAAAACGTTCTTCTCATTTAACATACAATTTTCCATTGAAAGCACCCGATGTGAATACCTTAGTAAAAAGTTAGGAGAATCCTGTCCCAAGAAAAACGAAAATTCAAAATTAAAACGTGAAAAGAAGCTGTGTACTTTTTTATTTAGTAAAATAGCAAATAACCAACGCGATATGATCATTCAAATTTCTCATATATAGTATAGACAAAATGGTTTTGTTTTTTGTTGTTGGCTGTATTGTGTAACAATATTTTATAAACAAATAAAACAGATAAGGTAATATGTAATAATTGCAATTACGTTTCATTGCCGCAACAAGGCTTTGAAAAAGAACAACAAGGAACCAGTATGTATTGATTAAGATTTGTTAGTACGCATTATCTAAGATAGCCATGCCTACCGTTTTTTCACGCACATATCCCACTTTGCATAAAAATACTGTAAAGCCTCCATGTTTTCGTACACCGTTTAAGTTATATTCACTTTCAAGGTACTCTGTTTCTTTCATTTTACTTTATGAACGTAAAACTTATGAACATACTAGCCAACTCCGTAGCGCATATAGGCATGCTAAAGTACAATGAACGACTCGTGCCAATATATTAATCATTAATTAATAACTGTTTCATCTGAAAGATCGTTGTAGCTTAATTAACCAAAAGCGTATCGTCTCGTCTCGTACCAATAGTTCTTTTCTAATTTGGTGTAAATCATAGCAAGCAGTTATTTGATACTTGTTAATTGATTTGGACAAAAATTTGTGTATTTCGTATAATTCGAAATATATAAAGTTTAGCGTATAAATAAAAATTTAAGAGCGCAATAGTTGATGAACAAGTGAGTTGAATGATGTGACTAATAATGATATATGTATGTGTGGAAACTTTCAAATTTTCGGTAGATTTTCTTATTATGAACTATTCTCAACGATTTTCTTATTCATTAACGCGATTCTTTCACTAATTTGATATACAATTTTTATAATTTCAAAATAAAACAAACACAAAATGAAAAGTTGGAATGAAAAATAAGTGTACTTAGAGAACCGAAAAAACCTATACTTGATCGTAACACTGTGTAGTTTATACACGTTTACATACAGCACGCTGCTGAATGAACAAGCTTTCAACACTCATTCATCCCCGCTATTAAGGTTATTCCTTTGGCAGAGTTTGGAAACTGTGATTTCTTTTAAATATTGTCATATCGTTGCAAATTACTATTTGAGATTACTCATACGCCTATACTGGACAAAATAAGCAATAGCTTAATAAACGACGATATACACTAAAATCTCGATTTGCGTAATTGTTTGATCTTAGCGAATAACGAAAGAATAACGATGCATTCGATGTGATATGACACAAGAGCGAAAAAAATATATTGAAAATTTAATTTAGGATATTAGCGTTTATAACACTTTTCTTGTTACATTTTGATCAATACACGAAATTCTACGAACTTTCGCTGTCTTCCCTTGTTGTTATATTTTAAAACGGTGCAAATCAAAACCGGTAACATAAATAAAAGCTATATTCTTTGTGATTGTAATTTTGTTATTAATTCTTAATTAGCATATAATGAAGGCATAAAAAATGCAATTATGTTACCTAAAAAATTCCACTTAACAGCGAAGTAGTAAAATTAAGCAATTAAAACTTTTTTTTGTATATTTTTTGTATAATTTCAATTTAATATAATTATGATTTAGGTAGAATCTGCAGTTTTTTATTTATGTAAACTGAAATACGTTCATTCGAATCCAACCAGAATAATTTAAACAATAACAACACGTAACTATCTTTAATATATGCATAACAGGGGAAAGTTTCTAATTATTTTCTCTTCGCTTTATCGTTGGGGGGAGGGAAACACTCTTTGAAATGTGATTTTAAATTAAAAAATCAAACGATTTAAATGCAAAAGAAATTTAATATTTTAGAAGATTCCTTTAGCTTTTTGCTTTTCTGTTGAGACAACAATATATGTACATAAACGAAATAACATAACACGTGCTGAATTGAGTTAACAACATTGAGACGAGAGTCGGCGCATATTTATTAAGCAACAAGTTGAGTGATTTCTATTTCAGGGTAGTTTACGTTTCGGTGAATAACAACCCTGTAGAAGAAACCCCTATTTTTATATGCATTTTGTTGTTTTGAAGCAGGTGGGGACGTGTGTGTGTATGTTTTAAAGTTTAAACCGCGTGTTGTTGTTGCTGTAAAGCTTGTACCGCCTGTGGTTGTGTTGTAAATTCTAATTTTATTTACATTGCTCGTACACGTGCCATTGTTTACATTCTTCCAATATCCTCTTATTGCTAATAAAACATAAGGCTGCAGAGGAAATACGTGCAATTTTTTTTCTCGCTTGTTCTCATGTTAGGACAGCTAATTTTCAATAGTGAAAAAAAAAAGTGCAATTAATGCATAATTATGTGATTCAGTACATAAGCCAACACTGAGGGTAAACTTGGAAAGAAAAATTTTAAAAATTTGGTGGTAACTACTCGTGTCCAACAATATCATACTCTGGACGATCTTCATCTTCTTCGATTTCCTTCTTACGGAAAGCTGCGAAGCGTAGCGTTCTGTTTATAGAATAAGTTATTGATGGTGTAGTATGGAACAATTGCCTAAAGTACAATTCGATTCTATGAATTGTTTATTTATTATATTAAGATTTACAATGCAAGCTTGTACACTTTTCCAAAGAACAAAGGACGGAAGAGGTTCCTATTTTAAAAACCCCGTCTCACACGAATAGATAGGCATACGCAAACGATCGGAACGTAGAAAATAGAACTATTAGAGAAGCATAGGAAATAAAACAGCTGGGTTATAATTCGGAGGATAAGATACGAAACGGATCAGATAAACTTTGCCATGAGGATAACATCGAACCAACGGAGCATTCGGCACGTGAACTATTCGCATCTTAGCTTCCGATCATTAAAGAATTGACAAAATTTGCCAAATTCGTTCTTGTTAATAGAATACTAAGAATATAAAATAATAAGGTACTGATTGTGAGGAAAAATAGTCGTTATTATTTGCCAGCATGTCAAGTTAGCAAATTAAGTTTTTATCGCTTTTAAACCCAAGCAAATAATTTCGGAAATAGTCAATCTACCAGCTATTTCTAAATGTTTGTAATATGTAATCCCTCCTTCAAGAATAGCCTTATAATCAACAATTATTGCTTCAGCGCTATAAGTCGCTAATCATGAAAGGTATATTAAAAATCGTTTCAGCGTCAATATGTGCTTTTGTCTCCTTACGATTTATATATATAGAAATTTTTCTTAATCTTTTAAAGGAGTTAAGAGTTTCAAAGTAAATAAAAGCTTGCTCAATTAGTATATTGAATCACTTAAATTTGAAATATTTGCACAAGAATTTAATAAAATAACGAGTTAACGCATACTTGTGAACCTTGGAATACCTACGAACCTTTCCAATCACGAACATTAAAAGAAAGTGTTGTGAATATAATAAATAATTATTAGTTCAACCTATTTCTATATAAATTGAAATTCACAAACCTATGCGCATTCCTGATAAGGAAAAAATTTTTTCTTAGTCGTAAGCCAAACTCGCATCTTCTTCTTTTATTTCTTTTCACTTATTCTGATTAAAGGAAGACCTGCAATAACATTTAAATTGTTTGGAATTAACATCCGAAGTAAACCATAGTTCGTTTCATATCATTTCATTTGTTTCATTTCCATCAATAATATATATATCAACAGCTGATATACACTGCTGTACAAACTGTAATACCAGATATTAATTACTATTATTTTTTAATTAACCATCTTACACAATATTAAACTACCAGTACTAAATGCTGTGTCCACTACCAGTAGTATGGGCAGGCAACATATAGCGGAATTCGGAAAATTTTCAGCAACATTTCAAATCTAAAACTGATAAACATAATTTGCGACATTACAAGACATGCAATTTGAGTAAAATTAATAAAGTAATAAAAAGAGCAAAAAAATTAAATAAAGAAAAACTGTAACAAAACCAGCTTGATATATAATTTCGCGTCCACGCTGAAACTTTCCTATTTGGCGGGGTGAATAACCTGTTTTTGATTCACATATTATTAGGCTTCTCAAAAATAAAGGAAAATTTTGTCTTTATTCCCATTTTCACTTTAGACAGGATATTTTGTTGGAAAAATATTACTAGCAAAATGTTTCCTAGTGCTATGTGTATATTATTAAACATTATAGCAGCTGTGCTTGGCGTTCTTCATAAAGAATTCAAAAAAAATTTCAACAAAAACATACAGAATTTCTACTTCTAACCTAACTTCACTTTCGGAAAGTACTCGATTTCTTTAATTTCAAATTTACGATAAATAAAAAAAATTTCATTTTCTCAATAAAGTAAATAATTAAAACGACTGAACGTGTTTTAATATGAATATTTGTTATTAATTTTTGTTATTAATTTTTCTGAGCCGATAGCCTGTGTTGCTAGTGCTCAATGTCTTTTTTTAGTCTAACAATTCAATTCATTAGTCTAAAATTAAAATAATAATAATAATAATAATAATTTTTCTATCTGAATACTTTTTGTAGTAAGTCAAATTTTTCAGTCTTCTTCTACTTTTCATTACATAAGTTTTTTTTGGCAGTTCTCATATTTTTCTAGTTTCCCTTCGTCCTTTGTTTTTTACAAGCAGCCGTTTTTTTACTTGCCATTGACATGTTTGTTTCCATCCATAAAGCAAATAATTGGCATCATTTGGAGAGCTATACAACTTTGAACCAATTCTATATGGAATTAATCCAGTTTTATAAAGAATTGAATGTGTGTTGTGAATTCCATATGGAGTGCGACTAAAACGACTCTAATAATGATCACGCGCTACAAATAAACTGAATTGCTTCTTATAGACGCAGTTCAAGCAAACAAAGCAATTTCCAGCATTTATATATTTATATATTATATTTTATAATAATGTGAACAGCAAATATCCAAGCGTGGTTGTTTTGTAAGCCCCATTTTTTTTTTATTTGCCTCTTTCGCTTCATCTTTATTACATTTGGAAGACGTGGAATTGAAACATTCTCTGTTTTGATCTGCACTACACCAATTATCAAAAAAAAAATAAAAATTTTTAAATTATACAATAAGTATTTGCAATTTTTATTTTCTCACGGCGTCATTTTTTTTTCCTATTTTTCCTAAATGTTACATTCCCGCCATAAACACGGAAAACTGCTGCAAAACTGTCAAAGGGTAAACAGCTGTTAGCTAAAAACTCAGCTGTTGTACAAAAACGTATTTAGCAAGTAAATTTGTGTATTTGATCGATAGATAAGTAGAGAAAAAGAGTTTTGCAACATAAACCATAACTTATTTATGTGATGGTGTTGTGATGTAAGGGAAGAGCTTTGCTTCGTTTTGCTATTATATATAATTTAAATAATAATAAAAGTGATAAAACAAGGAAATCCAGTGCAAAAAAAGTGTTTGAATATTATATAATTTGAAAAATATATTAGCTAAAGTAAATAAGAAAAAATTCTTACAAAGTTTCCATTCAACCTCAAAAGGAAAAATCGATTTTCATCACCAAAAACCAAAATTGCATATTTCCATTAGTGCTAACAACCTTAACGCGTGCTTATGCTTATGTGTGTTTGATATTAAAATTATTGTTCATGTTTTCCCAACAAAGAGCAGAAAAGAAAAATTTATTAAATCCTCCTGTCAAATTTCAATTACAACAACAAATTTCGTACCAGACCGGCACAATAAACCCCAAAAGAAGTTCTAGCCAGGAGAAAACCGAACTTTGATAAGTTCAATCCTAATGGGCTGAATGCAATTGGGGATTTGAATACCGAAATGTCGTATACTGAGCTGGAATCAGGGTATCAGGATCTACGACAACAATCGTCACAACAGGCGGCCGCTAATTCTGGTCAACAAACGCATCATGTTCTACTGGCAGGTGGCTCGGATCGTCAACAACCATGTCCTGGATTTTTTGTAGGCCACGATGGCAATGTATGTGTGTTTGTTTCGTCTAATTGTTTGTTAATAACGTTAAGCGATATAAAAGAAAAGCAATGCAGTATCCTCACGCTAAGAGCATTGTAGAAAAATCAATAATTCGTTAATGTGTGACCTTGTTCGAATGACTGTTTTCGTATACGAAGTTTCTTGTATGTATTCGCTAAAAACATATGCTCGCTTTCTCGGTTATATATGTTTGCAGATATGTACAAAATATTGTACGTACTTATAGTCCATTGATAATCTCAAGTTGAACCTTAGATACCCAACACCTACAGATGATATCTAAAAATCGCTTTTTGTTTTTATTTATTGCGGGTGGCTAATTGGTAATGTTTGATATAGGTTGATAGACTTTTGTCAAACACATAATTTAAAATTTACCCTGAATTTTTAAGTTCGGTGGAGGGATTTTTTCCATACCTAAACTTAACCGATCCAGATTAATTAAAAGTAAAAATGTCTCCGAATTTCATATAAGAAAATTTATGAATATTCGATGGAATCTCTCGGTGTGGCAAACGAGTTGGGAAAGTTAGTTTATGCACTTTTTGTCAGAGTATACATAAAATAGAAAAAAGATTTCAATGTCAAAGTCAATTATATGTTCGTTCACGTTCACTACCTTGGCTTGCTTGACGTGCTTTCTTCAACACTAGATTTACGGCACCCGTCGATTTGGCGGGTTTGTGAAGTGAATATCTAAGTTTTCAGATTAAAAATATAAAAAAATATGTTTTTTAGCCATTACCCACAAACTACAACATTTAAAATTGGTATGTTTTATTTTAAAGTAAAAGGTTTCGTTATCTAATACAATTTTACCTTTAACTTTTAAAGGTAAAGTAAACCGGTCAAGGCTATTTTTAGAACAAATATGCAGTTGAATATGGTGAACGCTTAGATACCAGGATTTTCGAAATATCTTCATCGGGTCGAAAGTTACAGGCGAAAATATGAAAAAATTATAGTTTTTTTTTTTGAGATTGTTTCAGTTTCTCCTTCATGACGGGCTTGTACTTGGGTAGATCGCGACGATTTTTAATCAACCAAGGATTAACGACTGTGGCATGTCGACAACGATAGGGGATCAAAATGATTGCTGCTGGTAGAAATAGGTATATGATATTGATATCTCAACAACACTAAATATGCAAAAAGTGGTTACAGGCATTTAAAGGTCTTTTCACATAAATGATGGACACTAGAAAATTTCGGGACATTACGTGCTTTATAATCGTTTTTTTAAGATCGAAAATTAAGAAGGATCAAAATAACGTACTCGATAGGTCCAGTGTCTCTATTTTATTCTAATAACGGTGTCTGCCTGGACGTAGGGTTTACTATATTATCCTTCAACTCATACTAAATGTGCTAATGTGATGCCTTTTGAAATCGCGTTTTTGATCTGAAAACTAGCTTGTCAGTTTGTTGAGAAGTTGATTGGTCTAACAGCGTCTAATTATAGGCTTATGTGCACACAATAAATTTGCGTATATTGTGTTGTGGATGACGTCAAGATTGCCTTTATAAATAGTGTATAAGCTCTAAGCGTAACGATCAATCAGGGCTTCAAGAACTTAACATCATTTTGATGGAATTCTGATGGTGACAAATTATAGTTGCCTGGGCGTGCAATACCCTTCCGTAAAGTGCACTCTTGTCTGTAAGGTCAACATATTGCAGTTTGCGGTAGACAATGAAATTTCTTAGAATATAAAATAATTGTTTATTTACCCTATTAGCAAGTTTACATTAATAAATAAAAGCAATTTAACGTATTATTCGAAAACTGATACAATTATATTTTATTTTAATCAGCTTTCGAAACTTTATAAACTTAAATATATGCAATATAGCTGTTCGTGTAAAAGTCTTTCCGACTTGTGTCAGCTCTCTTGGTTCGTTGTACTAATCACGTTACTCTTTCAATATGCTGTGTTAGACATGTTACTCGCCAAATGTATCAGAGCAATATATGTAATCTTACGGCGTAAATGTTCATAACATTCATAAAAGATGCCATATTTATTTTGTAAGCAATGTGCTTGCATGTGTTACATTATTATGATTGTCATAGGCAGTGCATAAGCTTAAATGGTATGTTATGATTTCGTTTACATTTCTTTAATGAAATAAATTTAATATGAAAGGCTATTGTTTTATCATAAAGCAAGTATTGGGTATCAAAAGATTCGACCCAAATCAAATAAATTTTCTTCCATATTAATATGGTTATTCTCTGGACATATAACATTTAACATTGTCTAATCAAAATATAATCAGAAAGAACTGTATTATTGACATCTTTATGTTATTAATAAAACTAATTCGATTTCATAAAGTCCGCTTAGTTTACTACGAGTACATTTTTATTTTTTTTTTGTTTTTGAGAAAAACTAAATTTATGGGTAACTTCCATTGGAATAGTCGTAATAGAGTTCATTTTGTTTTTCTCTCTAACGCTATAAATTAAATAGCAATGGGCAACAGTCATCATAAGTTTATATCTTCTTCTACCGGTGGAAATCATAGCAAAAATACTACTCAAAACTACTCAAACACTGATTTACAAAGTAAGCCATCGTCAACATTGCGTGTTTGCGGACATCGGCAAAAGCAACCTACAAATTATGGTCCTGCTAATGGCGCTAACTTATCACTACCATGGCTTATTAACTCATCTGCAAATGTAGTAGGTAACTCTGGTGTGTACATGTAAACAGTAAAAGAATAACACACCGCGAAGTATGCTTTTTTTTCTTTAATTTTTTTTTGTTTTTTTGTAAAAGGAAACCGAAGTTGACACAACCGGACATGTTATCAATGTTATGTAATGTTACATCATATACATTTTCCTATAGAGTTGGTCTTTTCTTTAATTTCCTTATGTATGGATTTCAATCGTTTCGTTTCCGCTAAAGTTCACAGCCGAATTAATAACCTTTATTTAGTATGATTCCTATACTACGATATTTCGAAAACAGCTGTTACGCAATTTGATGCGAATTTCTGGTAAAAAATCTTGAAGAGATAACACACGCGTACTTTCGCGAGGACCGTACGGTGGCCCATATGACGATTCGAAATCAATTGTAACGAACCAAACGAGAGTTGTGTCGCGTCAACAACACCTCTAGTTGCCAATCGACAATTTTTAGCACCAATTCGGCGACTTTCTGAGTGTGGTGTTCATCAAAAGACATCAAAGAATGGCGGCAACGCTCATAGGCTTCAATTCAGTCTTTCTCTTCTTTAAGCAACTTATATCAATAGATTCTACAGCGCCAAAGTACATAAGCAACCCTACATAATAAATGACACATTAAATCGAGACATCATAAAAATAACAATAACAGCAAGGTCAAGCTAGTAGGGTAAACTTTAATACTATCAAAATCCAGTGCTACCTTTTGACGCCTAGGTGAACGACGAACAGCTCCTCTCTTTTAGTAGCGTCGGCGTAGACGTGTCGCGATCCTTCATTTTCTGGACATGAAAATATAAAATGATGTTAGTTTGACAGTACCTACGCTCTGAGTGTCGAAAGGTGTATTACTGTTGACACCACGTGTATCCGGCCAAAGCTAGAGTATAACAGACGCTCATGGGCCACGAAAGCAGCAAAACTCTCGATACCCTCGGGAATCAGCGTAATGTGGGCTGTGAAATGTTAATGCATGGGCGACATTTCTGTGAAGATAAAAGAGTTTCGTCCACCAATTAAGCCCTAAGTAAGTTAGCAGGATGACAAGGCTTCTTCAGCGTTCTCACCCACTTGTCGCGGAATTGTTTGTATTTCGCACGCTACTCTATCGCGACTCGTCAATCTGTAATCACACTGAGCGCCTTGCAAACAATTTATCAATAGAGGTCTCTCCCGCCGCGCCTGAAGTTTTTACTTTTAAGTCGAATATACACAAACACTATTATCTCCTTCCAGTAGCTGGTCATATACAAAAAAAAAGGAGAAGATTCGCACTCAACATTCCACTGGCAGCTCTTTTTCGACATTTCCGAAGCCGGAATTCTACGTTTGATTTCTTATCTATATTTGCAATGAAAACATACACATTTTTAGATAAGTACTGAAAGTTTGGTCATGAAAGTGAGTACAGGTGTTAGCAACCAAGCAAAAAATATTACCCGTTTAGATATGCCTGCGCAATTTTAATGGAAAACCCTGAGTATGTTTTGAATACACTAGTACATGTAGTTTCGATTTCAGTACTTCGATAGTGAGATCGTTTTTTATTAAACTTGCTTTTGATTGAAACCTTCAGCACGTCGACCTTTTAAAGGTAATAATATTAACCACCTAAAGTGCATTTTTTCTATATTAAGTTGAATTTTTATATCATAAGCAGAGGGTGTGAAGCCATATGACTACAACCTGCACATAATTGGAAAGGCTATTAATAGAGAATTCACGACGTACTAGTTTCATTTTGTCGCAGGCCATTGTTTACCCTGCAGCCTGGTTGCCCTAGTTTGGTTTGCCCATATATTAGTCACAGTAGCTAAGCAAGCTTTTACTGTTTCATCCTCGTTTTTGACAGAGTGTAAAAACTTTTTCATACCAAGTTCTAACTAAATAACATAAAGACATATTTGGTTTATAATATATTTTAAAAAAATTCACAAGAATTTCTATTTCAACTAGATTTTGATTTAAATTCTTCCGAGACTTGGTTCTGTTAACGACATAACCGAGTTCTGTAAAATGTATTTGGTTTGTGTCTTTGCTATTTATATTTACGTATAACTTCACACCCTTTGATAAGCAATGCCTTAAAGGACAGTCAACTATATATGATGCAGATTCAAATGTGGTCTTTAAATGTCTCCAAAGATTCTTCTTTTCATGCACCCACGCTAAAGTTCATTTTTAAATAAAAACACTGAATCGTGAACACTATCATTAAGAAATCGCGTAGATTCTGGTTAACGTTACACTCATCCATGCTGATTCGCAACATTTATCGACACGT